TTGAATTTCTTGTAGACATTTTTTTTTTTTATAAAGTTAGATAAACTCATGAGGAATCTTGTATTATATTTTGAAATCTCAAATTAAAAAAGAAAAACTTTACGAATTTCTAGCTCAAAATAATTTGCACATTTTCGTCATTTTTGTCATTTTTACGTATTTGGCCAATATTTGAACTTTAAATGCTTATAAAAAAAATTGTGACTATGTAGTTTTATTATTTTTAAAATATCAACGTAACAATATATTTGGAGCTCTGTATTACATTTTCAAAATTGTTTACCCAAAAAATAAAATTTTATTGACATTCATAGAAATAAAAGCTAAATCAATTTGAAACTGAAAATGTCCGTAAACAGTTCAAAACAAATCAAAATTGTTTGAAAATTTTATTGTGTATAGGAAATTCTAATACTAACAACTTGTGAAAATGTATTATACCTTTGTCATTTTTTCATTGGTCATTTGTTTTAGAGTTACACCAAATACTAAAATCGATTTTGTCAAAAACCGATTTTGCGTAAAAATTCCGGTTTTCCTTAATTTTTTTTTTTGTTTTTCTTGGAACTTTGAAAATTACTTTGAGTTTTAAACTTTAACCTCCCCAAGCACCAAAAATATTCTCTTCCCCATCGAACAAGATACAAGAAGTTGAAAATCGAAGCATTATTTCGACTAGGTACTTATTGTGTACACGGACACAAAAAACAATTTAAAAAGAAACACATCATTGCAAAACAAATAGGTACATTCATCGCTCCACTCAGAATCTAAAAGAATACTAACTTAAGATAAACTCTAACTTTAGATGCTCATAAAAAATATAGTGGATTTACTCTCAACTTTTTTTTCAAATGTCCACCAATAACAACTTATGAGGAACCTTGTATTAATTGTTCAAGTTTTTTGATAAAGATAACAATTTTTATCGACAGTAATTAAATGTATGCTTATAAATAGCTGAAATGAGTTAAAATATTTTGAAAAATGTATGATATATAGAAAACTATAAACATTCGGTGAAAGTTTCATCTACTCTCAACCTAACCTAACCAAAAAAGATACCAATGTAGAAAATCGAAGCATTTTTAGTGCCCCAAAAGGTGATGACAGACACAAATAAAAATGATGATAAAAAACCCCATATCATTTTAGAATTAACACATTCATCGCTTCGCCCAGAATCTAAAATAAATTGAATATGTGACACAAATGTCATTAATTTATTAAAATATTTAGACCATTTTTACCAACGCAATGCAAGATAATTGGCATAATAAAATATTAAAATGTAAGTTTTAACAACTTGTCATGTATTAACTCATTATTTATATACTTATAGCCATATTATTTATAATATTAAAATGTACTAATTAGTTATGATCATAGATATATAGAACAACTAGATAGCCGTCATTATACTACAGTTGTGACCAATATTTAAATCGGCTGCCATTTACAAAGCAGGCAATGTTTACATTTATTTTACATTTATTTATATACATATATATTTATCTATATATATTATATACTATTATATGATAATATTAATTATTATTTTATAAACATTGCCTGCTTTGTAAATGGCGGCCGACTTCGATGACAAGAAGAAGTCGGCTATCTAGTTGTTGTATATATCTATGGTTATGACTATGTCTTTAAACATTTTTATCACACATTTTATTTATATAATATATATTATATAAAATCATTTTTATTTTTAATTACACTTAAATTATCAGTTTAAAAAAATTCAATGTGCTAAACCGTTCGATAGCCAATTTAATGATATGGAAACTATGCACTTAAATTCGTGACTTCTTTGTGATTTTAAGAGTTCTCAATCGTTCAGCCAAATATAAGGTATAATAGATATATAACGTTGGCTCAATCGTTCAATAGCCAAACTACACGTGAATAACGAGCTGGGGAAGAAAATGTATGTCTATCCTCCGCGAAAAATACAACCAGCTAACCAGCCGTTTTATTTCTCTTCTTGTTTTTTTCATGCGCATTCTACTTATATATTATTACACTGGCTCGATTTTGAAATACTTGTTTGTTCTATTTGTGTACGTGTGTGTGACGTCATATTTAGAAGCAGTAAAAAATTTTCAATTTTCAATGTGAAGGATGGTTCGTGGTACTTATTCATGAACCGTTATGCAAATTCAACAACTACTAAACATATTTTAATCGATTTATACAGATTTCTCTCAGAAATTATTTATTATAATTTCCTCATGAAAGTGTGAATGACTATTTAGATATTAAACAACGTTATTATTCACCACGTCATGTTGTGTTTTAAACATTGTATATCTTGGTGAGTGATATAAAGGAATATGACTAAAACAATATTTCAAAATAAAATTATGTTTACTAGGAACTCCCGATGGCTGATGTTATTAACAAATACATGGTAATTGTTATGAGCTCCAAAGGAAAAGCCTTAATTTTAAGTGACGTTTAATATTTACGTATATGCTCATCAGTATATTAATACGAAAACAGTGTAAACTATTTAATACTTGCTTACGTTCTGAGAGCACCGTAATAAATAATAATATTAACCTATTCAACATATTATCGAGTAAAATCAATAGTAAATAAAATTAAATATTTTGTACAAAAATATCACAGTCGTGCATAAAAAATAAATAATTAGGCATTTAATAAAATGCAGATTTATTTAATTTAAATTCAAACAACATACTTACATACCTACCCAACATTGGTACAAACAAATACAAAAACGTAGGGGCAGCGAATTGGTATATTCATTGAAAATGAAGAAACTTTCTGGGCCTTTATATTATAATCCTATATATACCTTCATAAAACATTTATGTCTAACATTCTCTGTTAAATAATAACCACTTTCCGTATATGATTAATTAAAACAAACACGTACGCAACGGTACACAACTGTTGTGTTAAACTCCCAATAGTGTTTTTTTTCTAGTAATAATTTGTCAAACGAAACATTTTAACACACCTATTTTGTACGTGACAGAAGTGTTATTTTATAAATTCACCATACAACGTATTGGTTGTACTATATATAATAATAATAATAATAATAATAAAAAACACGATAAGTTAGGGGAATATAAAACGTACGAACTATATATTATTATACTTATACCGATACATATGCTTTTCTGTATATTTTAGAAGCACTAAAGTTGATTTTCTATACGCACACTATAGATACACTCTCCTCACCTATATGCAGTATACGTCCAATCGAAGTATTAGAATATATCCATTTTAAAATACTGATACACACACCAACTTTTTCTTTTCTTTGAGTTCTCCTCGTTAGTCAGTAGTCGTACTCTTGATGTAAGTATTGTAAAAATATATGATAACTCAATAATAAAAAGATAATTATTATTTATTAGTATACCTGTAAAATAATTACTTAAAATTCATATATTTCAATAAACATAATTACCATACTTGAATTGAATAATATAATAATTTGTATTAAATCAATAAAACTATACCTAAACAGAATTAATCATGGAATTTGGTTTATTTCATTAATTAGTTTTTATTTTTTCATAATCAAATCAATGTTATTTTAGTAAAATAATAAATTGTTGTTAATTAATGTATATCTATTTAAATGTATCAATTTAAAATTATAAATCCGATGTTAATAAATAATTCAATCATAAATTATTTTTTCCCAACAGTGCAGCACGAGGACGTGGATTTTTTTTTCATATAAATGTTTGTTTTTTTATAAATAAGATACACGTAACACGTTTCACAATACCTAATTAAATCAATTAGTACCCACTTCACTATTACACAATTATTATTCTTTTTAGGAGAAAATCGTTTAGACGTCTACGTTTGGGCCCACGTTAGTATTTACACACTGGGAAACTTGAAAATTGGTAATGTTTACGTATTTTGCAGGTTCAGTTTTCCATAGTATACGTAATGCACTAATTTGTATCACTGTAGTAAATCGTTAATGTCTCGGACATAATATCTGTTTCTATCGCAGCTGAGGTTTTCATAATATAGAGGTGTTTGTCGAGTTACAGACTTACAGTCACTTACACGATTTGTATACGAAATCTTAAATTGCTGATAATAGTAAGGATGTAGATTTTACATAAACGTGCAGTAGTTTCAGGTACATTTTTTGTCTATAATCACCACGAAATATTTTTTACCCGATGTCCAACAAAATAGTATTACACACTGCAGAGTTTCAATATCGATTCGATGGCGTGTAAAGTGGGGGCTTAATGAAGGGTTTAAAATAATATTATTCTCAATTTTCATGTACATTTATGTAGTTTGATGAACTGATGTTGGAGATGTAGGGTTACTGCAGTCTGCAGTAATATGATTTAACTTCGATTTTGGTTGAATAAGTTGCACCGTCACGTCATCTAAACTCGAAGCTATTTCTATATTATTGTCTGTATAGCTAGAAATCTGAGACTCATAAAATAAACATCAGTATGTGGTGAGATTTTTAAGTTTTGAGGTGCAGCTGTTTTTATTTGTTTTATTTTCGAGGCTGCGTCAATTATCCAAACGGAAAAACAACTACGCGAGAGAAAAGATTTAACCAGCAGGTCGGAGATTGCGCATCGCGGGATGCTGAGTGCTTTTAACTCGGGCAATAGACAGTGTTATACGTACCAGACACCACTGAATGTCTGAACTATAATATTATCCTACACGTGTAATATTGTCTTACCGACGATATTACAAAATAAATGATTTCGTGGACCCGTGAGTTACAATATTTCGTTTTGTGCGTGAAAAACTTTGATCGCAGTCAGGAAATAATAAGTTCCGATTTGATAGCATGGCGACGGCCGTATCGTCTGTTTCTGGAAATCGGAAGCATTTTCTTTTTCACTCGACGAATCGGATACTATTATAAGCGCGTGCCGGACACTTGAAATTAACAGCTCTTATAACTTCCAGTAACTCTGGAATCCGGACCGGCTATTACGTAAGTACTAAGTAATACAACACTGAATACTGTAATGAATGAGTATTAGACACGGAACGGCTGACGAATTGATGGCGATTGCCACCATTACGCATGATAATCTTGGACTTTGAGCAGAATAATTACATCGAAAGACAATAAATAGTATATGAGCGTGATATAGCCCCGGAATGATTATGGAACTGCGCACCGAAAATTCGTAACTGACTTTAGAGGTGTTACGTGTAATTATGCGTGGAACCGTTGTTATCGACGGCCGATTAGGTGTGACTTGCCATTTGCGCTTCGCATTTCGTGTCCGCTTTAATGGAAGTCGTTTGTTTCGTTCGTCCATCGGACCGAACTCCACGTAATTTGATAGAGTTACACAAAGTTTGTTATTCAAGTTTCCATTTCGTGCAATAGTATCCGTTTCGCAAATGCTGTAAAACAAACTATTTTTGATCATCCTGCGAGATCCCGAGATTTATTTCATGAAGTCAAATTCAAAATATCCGGAAATGATATAGAAACCAGGGGCTAGGCACTATTATCGTTTCGCTCACCTCATCGTCAGCGGGCGTCATGTTATATAAATTCTAGTAAGTTTATTTGAAAACAATAGTGCAAATACCGTGGGAGCTAAATTCACTTAAAAATATCTGGAAATTTCGTAGACACAAAACGAATAGGTGCTAATAGTAATGTTTCATATTCATTGTGTCAACCACACAATAGTCATAAGATAAGTAGGACAATATTATTAACTATTGTACATTCATCAATAAAATAAATAATTCTATAAATAATACTATAATAGAACTATCATTTAATTTTGGATTTGACATCACGATATGGCATCTTCTATTGTTCGACTAAATGTTATTTCCTGGAAAATCTAACAACATTTAATTTAGAATAAAAATTCTGATTAAATGAAAAATTTAGAAACAACAAAAAGGTTCTATCTATAAATTGTTGGTTCTTAACTGAAATTTGTTAATAGTTTTTAAACTTAAGTTTAATAAACTCAATATTTAAAGAATACAATATTTTAAGTGTTTTGAAAAAATAAAGATAAATAATTTAACAATTTTATTATTAATGTGTCAAACATTTTTACTGTTACCAAGTTTATAGAATTTAATAAAAAACTATCCTAAATAGTATTTTTCAAGGTAAAGTACATCAATGTTAAATCCAAATACCCAATGATAAACTTAGTTGGCTCAGCACCTAAAATGCAATAACATTGTCCTGAATACTAATGTTATTCAGGCTATCAATCATGGGCGGTCGTTGAAAAGGGTATATTTATAATAATATTAAAATATGTGATATTGAATTGTACAAAAAATATTCAGGTAAATTTTACTCATCAATTATACCAGTCTTTTTATAAATAATAAATTTAGATAGTAATAGTTGTATCAATATAGTTATTTTTCCACCATAAAAACATATTATAAAGGTAGTGTTTTTTTTTTTTTAAATGTATGTACTGCATGGTAAATAATAATAAATTAATAGATTAGTATATTGTTGTAAAATAATTGAAACCCATTGCAATAACATTGAAAGGCATCAAGAAACTTATTCTCTAATTCTCTCGTCAAGCTGATTTCACAGAATGTATGATATTTTTTGTATTACTTACTTAAGGATCCTTAGAGTGTTCCGTAGTTCTGTGATGATATAAAATTTATATTTTTGAAATGAGAACCCCTCCATTTTTACTGTAAATTCTGTAGCAAATTATGATGTATCTAAATCAAAATTCTAAGGAGTAATTTCTGGATTATAAAAATGTTTAAACTAAGGATAATAATCCTTAAGAATGGTTTTATGAAAATATAAACTATTGTAATACTAGATGTAATATTTAATATTTATACTTGGATCATTTTTACAAATTATTTATATTGATAGATCAATAGTAATTACTAGCTTCTTCAAATCATCTTAGCGCCCAATCTTCTTAACCTGTTACCTTAGGGCATACATATTATATTATCCTTGGTACACAAAGTTATATAACTCAAAACCTACTCATTCTTATTAAAAAAAAATATCTGCTTAATAGTTAAAAATGAAAAAGAGAGGTTCCTATTTTAAATATAGAAGTTAATATTATCGCAGGTTCATTCATAAGTGGTATAAAAGATTTCAAGGTTTTAAAAATGTGGTTTTAAGTTTCTTTAAAAATTACAAAATCAGAATTTGAATATATGCATAATTTAAGCATACAAATAGGATAGAGCATGCTTAAAAAATTACACTGTATATTATATTTATCAATATTGTTCGACGAACAAGTGATCTGTCTATCTGTAAGCAGTAAACACATTACATCACTATAGTATCTGATTCAAGTATCTAATAATTAATAAATAACTAGTACTAAATAGATAATAATACAAAGTTAATTAGCAATTGATTATGTTATTTTCATAACCTTTTCCAACTATAAATCGTTTGTTGTCTAATTACACTCATACTTAATCTTTTACCGGAAACTACAAAAAAAAATGTTTCAAATTATCTAACCTACTTATTTTAGATTCTGATTGGGGCGGTGAATGTATTTATTTTACAATGATGTTTGTGTGTGTTTTTTTTTTATGTGCAAGTGCACACGATATTATAGTAGAAGAAATACTTTGTATACTTTCAATGTTCATTAAACAAGTTTATTTTTTATAGACATTTGAAGTTCTAGTTTGGATAAAATTCAATATTTAAACGAAGAATAACAATTTTATATATTTTGTTGTAATTAAAAAATATTTTCTTGGGGATTAAAAATATTTACGTATATTAATACATTTAGGATACACATTACACAATGATACATTTAAAACATTTAGATTAATTCTATGCTATTGTCTATTTATAGTTTATAAAGTAATATTAATAGTAAAATAAATAACTATAATAATTAATACAGTGTGTCCCAAAAGTCCCGTATCACCCTTAATATCTTCATGTAAAATCACTATATTTAAACGCGGTTTTTTTTACAGTACTAAGTATGAAAATTCTGATTGAATGGCATAAAATTCATTTATTTTTTTCTTTAAATTCAAAAATTTTCAAAAAAATTTTTTACGCATTTAAGAATTTAAAATTTTTAAGATAGCCATTTTGTTGAGCATATTTTTTAAAACAGTTCAAAAATAAAATACTAAAATTAAATAAAAATTGACCAAGTTAGAGCAAGTTATGTTTTTGAATAATTGTAGTAAAAAAATAAATTAGGAATGTAAAAGTATTGTCGTGTGCTGAAATTAGATATTTCATTATTGAAATGTGAAACAATAATTTATTTTTTTACTACAACTAAGACCTTCGTGATTTAATTATTAAATCTACTATTTCAGTAAATTTAAAATAGCTACACATTTCGACTATCATTAATATTATTTATAGAACAAGAGATTAGTTGTTTTATTTAGATTTGAGTTTTGACCTGTTTGTTCAAAACTACTGACATTTGGATTTAATGACAACATGTTATAACCTAACTACTGGTGATGTAGTTAGTATACTAGGTAGTCTGGTATAATAGTGTTGTAATAAATATAATATACAAAAGAACTAAAGAACATAATACTGAATAAATATTCTATAGGCAATAGAGATAGCCAAAAAACGAAAATAGAAAATCTTGTTGCAAAAAATTATTTAGATAATTATTTATCTCAAATAACTATTTTACATAGATAGATAAAACGATATTTCAAATTATTTTTATCCATATTCTAGATAATGCACAATACTGCCGGTGTAGTAGGTATTTCCAAGTTACCATACATTTTAACAGTAACTTAAAAATGATTGTGTTTTTTAGTATAATATAGTACACTGAAGTACCTATTGTATGAAATAGAGTATTATTGTGTGTTGCATATTATTAATAACCACAGTTATAAGCCATGATCATCATCTGTATGGTACGAGTATAATAAAATATCGTATCTAGTTATTTTATACGATTTATGTGAGTTCAGTTGTTTACATACAAGGGATTTATTTTGCAAAAGTAAGAAGCAAAATTCATACTATAGAACTTTCGAAAAGTATATTTCCTATTCATTATCTGCGAATAGGTGACTTTTGAGACTTGAAATAGTTGCTATTATGATAATAGAACTTGGTTGAAAGGAACTAAAACTTGCACAGTGTCAAAATAAAAGTTATGTATCTTGAAATACCTACTGTTTTTGAATGTGATTTGCCTGAAATAGTTGACTGTTCAGTTTTCAGTAGTTTTCACAGTATATCTAATATTTACATACTGAGCAGTTTTCGTATGTATTAATATTATAATATGATTAAACTTTTTAATAATATTTCAAAATCTAACCCAACTCAAAAATGTGAAAAATGTGATAGATATTTATATTAATAACATGTGATATGTTTAACAGTTTACACAATTTACTTACAAATAAATGTATTCGTATTTTGATTTGATAAAATAGCTTATCATTGATATCGTTTAGATACATTCAAATAAGTACCTATACATTTTGAATTGTCTCCCGATAAAAATTAAATATTAAAAAATAAACGAGAAATTTAGTTTAGTATTCTATACAAATTATGAATACCTAAACACAGATGAAGGAAATTCAATATTGGAAATGAAAAGATTATAATATATAGTTATCAATAAACTATCGGTAATTTATTTAGGTATAATGTATAAATATGGTAGGCTGAACTAATTTTTGCGAAAACATCAACCTTATTATATTTTATAAATTATATAAAATATTATAATATTATATCATACCTAATGTGTGTTTCTAACTCAAGCCATTCACGAGGTATCGTAGAACGGATTGAAAAAGTTCATGGTACAAATAACTACCCTATATTATTTGTAGGTTATGTAGGTATTAATTTTATAAAGAAAATAATAATAATATTTACTTAATGACAAAAAGTTTAAAGTCTTCTTTCGTTCATTTTTAAAAAATCTTTATATTTTAATGTTTAAATATCACATTTCGTCAACGTTCTACTTTAAAAACAAAATTATGCGTATGAATTTTGGATATTTTTATAAAAGACTAAGAAAAACATATTGTAAATATTGTATTTAATATTCAAGGATTAGGTATTATAATCATCATTTGAAGTCTGAGATATGTACATAACTACAAAATAATTTTCAAAGTATAGTAAATTTTATGAATTTTTTTAGCATTTGAATTCCATTTGCTTTTGAAAAAATACTGTGTCTATGCATTTTTAATATTTTTACCTTAAGTTATACTTTTGACCAGTATTTTGATCAAAAAAACATTTATTAAATACATTTATAAAAAAAAAATATGAAATTTTAAAATGTCTTTAAAAATACCCTTAAATTAGTGAAAACATTTTAAAAATAATATTGAGCATATACAATCACAGTTCAAGTAATATTGAAACATATAAGTTTTCATGGATAAAATATTA